TAAGATATTTTCTCAATTCATTATTACATGGAAGGTATTCTTCATGAGGAAGACCTAGGATCGGTAAACCATATCATTTTCATATCCCAAAATAAAATCCCCAATTCTCCAAAGGGAGTATGTAGGGTGTTATTTGCAGGACACCATAATTCAAAAAAAGCACACCAAATTTCAGGAGAACGATTATAGGTGTATCTAGAAACACCAATGGCTCCATATATTTCCGCGTGTTTTAGAACTTCTTTATGTTTGTCCAAAATAACTTCAGTCCATTCATGTAACAATGGCAAATAAGAGTTACAACCAAAAAATTGAAAGTCACCCCATCTCATACCTTGCGTCAGCACACCATGCAAAGTAGGGCCATTATCCTCATCCTAATTTATCCTATTTATAGCATTAAGGGTCAACCTTTTCCAATAGCAGCATATTTAAAGTGCCACTAATGATAGTGGATATTTCTATTGTTCCGGGTTTTTTCTTGGTAGTCAATAAAGTACCAAAGGAAGTATGCTCTTTAGGAGTCCAAGTGGAAAGTTGCTTTTCCTTATGAGGTATCCAAACAAGAAATAGGTTCTCTAAAGGAGCTACAAGATTACCAACAGATATTGACCTAAGGAAATTAGGGCCAACACTTCCTTCATTCCCTTTGTCATTTGTGGCTTTCTCATAAATACCTGGAACTCATTGAGGCTGATGATTAGAATCTGTTTCGTTAGAAACATTTGGTTGAAGGGTATCCATCTAAAAAAAGGGGGAGAGATCAAATCAAACAATTTTCCTTAAATCTGAAATTAATCTCCTTATGAATCTCTTAAATCTTTAGAGTTGAAGATGGTCATTTAGAACCATCATCAAGTAGTTAAACCTTATAAAGATTGATATCTATTATGCTTTCTTTATGAGGTCCAAATTTATCAAAACATTTGTTTGTAAGTTATCATCAAGGAGGTCAATTCGACCTAATTTCATTGTGATATCAAAATGATTTTCAAATAAATGTCTGTTTTTAAAACAGATTTTGTTATGAGATCAATCAAATCTTCAAACATTTTGATATGATCTCTTTATGAGATCAAAGCAACATTTTAAATCCTTCCACCTTTATGAGGTCAAATTTTAAATTGAAAATTGAGAACATATCAGTCTAAGACCTAGATAGTCTTCAATTAGGTCAATTTGACATAATCTCTTTAGGAAAGCCCAGGCTTTGGCTTTATATAAGGGCTGGGCTTGGGCTTGGATATTTTCTATTGATAAATGGCAAAACCCAGCCCGACCCTCAAATACTCAAATCAAATCATACAATTAATTGAATCTTTAAAGGCGTGGAGAAATCCAAGGAGGCAATTGTAGAAAGGATAATTATTATGACTATTCATTGGTTGAAAACTTTGGATTTATTTAAAGACTTCTCAGCTGAAGTCATTTACAGGAATTGGGAAGTGGTGGCTTCTACAACTTCCATGAAACCTATTGTGCAGGAATTGTAGTCCCTACCAACACAGCAAAGAGTGAAATTGAACTTTGATGGGAGTTCAAGAGGTAACCCGGGCCCTTCAGGTATAGGAGTAGTTTTTAGAGATGAAAATGGCAGAATTGTGGCTTTGTTTTCAGGACCAATAGGAGTTGGGGACTCATTGGTGGCAGAGGTGATGGCTTTGCTTCAAGGTGTAAGATATGCAAAACAGTTGGGGTTACACCAAATTGAGATTGAGGGAGACTCTAAATTGTTGATTGAGTGGCTGCAATCTGGTAAGTTGGGAGCTTGGATTTATAGACAGCCCATAAGGGAAATCCACAATATAACAAGGGAGATCGGTGCATGCTTCAAATGGACAAGGAGATCAGCTAATGGTTTAGCTGACACGTTGGCTAAGCAAGGGACTGTGAGGGAGAGTATGTTCTGGGCAGTTTTGTAAGAAAGATGACTAGGGGCTCAACACCTACTTAAATGGTTGACAGCTGTACTTAAATATGGAAAGTTATTTAATGAAGTTACCGTTTCCAATAAAAAAAAACATACAATTAATAACATCAAGCATATTGAAATTGAGAGTCCTAGTTGCACTAGGACTTCTCAATTTACCAAGATGAGTAACCACAAAGCCTCATCAAATCAATCAAATAGTTAGATTATATCAGATTTTGTCTAACGAAATATATTGTAAGAGTCCTGATCATACTAGGACTTCCAATTTTGGCTCAATTCTTTTTTAATAATAGAACTTTCATAAATTTTGATTATATTTGTTTATTTGAGCCTTGGATACCCATATTCTTGGATTTTGGGCCCGCAGTGCTCAAGGGGGCATTGTTGAAGGCATTTTTTTAACCGAAATAATATTTAATAATTTAATAACCCAAATAAGTGGGTTAGTAAAAAAGTATCCCGTATGAGACTTCTCTCCCTATTTAAGCTAAACAAGCACCTCTCATCTAGGAGGAGGATGTAGTTACATAACAACCTCACTCCCTATTTAAGCTCCTTAAGAGGAAGCTAGGGGGGATTATTTGGAGAAAATTGTCACAAGAGATTAAGAGAGGTGCTCAAGGGAAGGCAGGGAAGGAAAAGAAATCTCACTAATACAGGTAGGAAAAGGAAAGTCCTTTACGAGAATACTTCCTATATATGTCTTCTGCTATGTATCCTTCACTAATACAGGTAGGAAAAGGAAAGTCCTCTACGAGAATACTTCCTATATATGTAGCTGACGGTTTAGCTAAACAAGGGGCAGAAAGGGATTCACTTTTTTGGGCCAAGCTGTAACTTTAGTGTGTTTTCTTTCTTTTCTCTTTCTTTTTTCCTTTTCTTGAGGTTCTTTGTTGCTCTTGGAAGATAAGTGTGTTTGTCTTCCTTTTGTAAATCTTCTATTGATGAATTAATGAAAGTGTTATTGATAAAAAAAAGGAATACTTCCTATATATGTCTTCTGTTATGTATCATTCTTTCTCTCTCTCTTTTATTTTCAGTTCTGAGAAAGGAAATAGAGGGAAATAAACCATGTACGACCAGGTACCTGTACTTGGTTGACTATGGTCCCTCTTCCAAGACAAAGCTTGGGATTAAACCATCTACAGTTTAATTCTCAAAGATTGGTTATGGTTCTCTTCAAATGAAAATGAAGAACAGAGGAATAAAATCGTCTACAATCAAATATGCAATTTGATTGACTACGGTTCCCTTCTTGTTTGCAAAAATCCAAAGGGTTAAGACTGTCTACAATCATAATTTCATTTGATTGACTTATTGTGAAGAAAGGAGTGAGAAGGAAATCTTCTTTGTATAAAAAAAAAAAGAGAGAAATTTATTGTTGTGGAGTTTTGTTTTCTTCTCGTTCTTGTACACTTGATGTAAAAGAATTGTAAGTGAAAGTTTCTTTTAAAGTACTCTATTGCTCCTCTCTTTTGTTTTTTGCATTTATTTCTCCAAGTCAGAATCAAAAGGTGTTCTCTACTTTCTTGTGGAGTTGTAATTAAGGGGAACAATTCGTATGATTCCTTGAATGGGCTTTACCCAAAATAATAAAAACTCAATCACTTGATTGAGTGAATTATGTTGCATGAGAATTTATTAAAATTTTCACACCAACACATGGGAAATCCAGGGCTGTCAAGTATTAGGGGACAATATTTAGACATCATGATGGCATGACAACATTACTATGTTCAGGTGCTTTAGGGCATGATAATTAGACTAGCGCAGAGTAGTTAGCTGTACTCCAATGCATTATCATGCCCTAAAGCACCTGAACATAGTCATTACGGGGTGGCTAAAAGGTCATTACGGGGTAAAGACATATATCGAGAGGAATCAAATAACATGTGGGGCCCTGGCAGTAAAGACATATATTGAGAGGAATCAAATAACTAGGGAGGTAAGAGCTAGTTTAAACTGGGTTCAGAGATCATCTAACAGCATGGCAGATGCATTGGCTAAACAAGGTCTCAATAGACCACAATTGTTTAGAGGGATCAATCATAAAAAAAAAAATCTTTTAATGCTGGTTGGTTCAGCTGTATCCTGCATGTGGTATTTAGGTATCCCTTTGTGATGCCAACCATAGTCTTGCAGGAGCTGTGTGTGGCCACTCTCAAGTGTGTTCTGCATCTGCGTACGATCTGACTATTCAGAGGATAAGGACATGAAATTTAGAAAGTGTAATAGGTACAAGATGTCAGGGACCAGTAAATTTGTTTGGCCATGAAGAAAGCCCAAGTCCCAGAACAGATCTGGTTCAGGGGATAAGGGCATGGAATATAGAAGGTCTAATAGGGATAGGGACATAAAATGCTTCTGTTATTGATAAAAGAAGGGAAGAAAATCTCAAGAACTATAGAAAGGGAAAAAAAGAAGAAAAGAAATCATTGGGGATTTGTTAACCTCTTGGGTCATGAAGAAAGCTCAAGTCCCAGAACAGATCTGATTGTGCAAGAATGAAACGTAAGCTTCTAAGAACTGTTTGTAAGAGAAAAAGGTATAGTGGTGGGGGGTTTTGGCTTAGGGTTGAGTCTACCGGAAAAATCTGACTTGTATGAAAGGAAGAATGAGGGAGGTCAATCCTATATGTGGATTTTAATGGATAGGCAAAAGGGGAGGGGCTTCTGATATAAATATTAATGTATTACCAAAATTGATTTTATTGCATTGTGGATGAATCTGTATAATGCTCTCTACTAAACTATTTTTGGAACTAACTTGGGCTTTTGACCCTCTCAATGTGCGAGGGGGTCTGCATGCCTTAGTGCTTGTTATCCTTATCTCAAAGCTGCAAAGTTTGCAATTGGTTCTACTTGTCACAGTTCTATCAACACTTTCATAGGTGTTATCTCGTGTCTAAAATACAGTTCATGTAGTCATACAGCACTGTAGCATTGTGTGTGCTTCATGCAAAACCTGATTACATTTGGTTCATATATTTCTTTTAGGTTTTAATGGGAAACTGTTGACCAACATCATTTTTTTCCTTTGTAACTTGTAACAACTGTTCTTTCTCCAGACATGTTTCTTGCTCTTGATAAAGATATGAATGGGACATTGAGCAAGCAGGAGCTTCGAGAATATGCGGATGGCACACTAACAGAAATATTCGTTGAAAGGGGTAAGAATGGGAATTAATTTTGACAAGTTTTATTCAGCTTTGCCCAATTGGTCCTTTTTAGTCAAATAGATCAATTTATCTTTTTATTGAGTTTAATCTTTATCTTAACATCATTCTGTTGGCATTCATTGGTATTTTGCTCAACAACATGAATTGCATTTACTTCTTGGATTGTAATATGGCCTTGTTTGTACTCATTTTTATCCTTAACAGCTTTTGATGAGCATGTTCGACGTGGCAAAAGTGGTGGAGGCAATGCTAGGGAGATGGATTTTGAAAGCTTCCTTGACTTTGTTTTGGCCCTAGAAAATAAAGATACACCAGAAGGATTGTCATATTTGTTTCGGTGCCTTGATCTCCATGGAAGAGGATACCTTACAACGGCTGATATACATACGCTTTTCAGGTTACTCATTGCATGGCTTTATTTCTATCATTGTTGACCAAATATCTTGATATTTGGCAATGATAAATAATTTATGCTTTCTATTTGGTTCCTGATTTTTTTCCTTTTAATTTTGTGCGTGTGTTGGGGGTGGGGGGTAATTTTATTTTAACATGGAAGAAAAGAAGGGGACCATCCCGAAGCTAAGTTGGTGCCTGATTCAATCTTCCTATAAAAACCTCTGTAAATTCCAACTTGTAGTTCTGAAGCAAAGTCTGCAAGTCTCAACTTACTGAACATTTGCACTCTGGATACAGTTTAGTCAGAAATTGAATATCGAAATAGTTTCAAACATTACCAATTAATAAGAGTCTGGAAAACTTTCTAGGGAAAAACTGCTTTTACTGGTTGATAAACTAAAGGTCATTACTGTTGTAAAAATATATATTGTTGTCTTCTGCTGCATGAAGGGATGTACACCAAAAATGGATTGAAGGGGGGAACTACGAGCTTTGTATTGAAGACGTACGAGATGAGATCTGGGATATGGTGAAACCAGCAGATCCACTCAGAATAACATTAGCTGATCTCCTTGCGTGCAAACAAGGTGGGACTGTTGCAAGCATGCTTATAGATGTCCGTGGCTTCTGGGCCCATGATAACAGAGAAAATCTTCTCCAAGAAGAGGAAGAGCCTGAAGAAGAGTAACCAACCCGGCAAAGCTCACGAATTGGTGCTTCTTTGTAGAGATCATTTGATGTAGTTTTTAGAAATCAGATGTTCTGTTTACTGTAGCTACACTAATGTGTTTGTTTAACAATCAAATGATCAAAAGTGTATATTCTTGCCATGATTCTGGAAGGCTTGGAAACCTAGAACCCATTTTTAAGATGGTAAATTATGTTGTATAACGAATATAATCATGCATATTCAAATGGATTAATGGAATGGAATGAAATGTGACCCAAATGTCTCATATCGAGACTTCCCATCTAATAAGAAGTTTAGTACATCGAGCAGAAATAGTCATCACTTCTGGTTGTGGCTAGTGGTTACCCTCAAATGGCCATTAAACGAATGGCGAGTGCCATTTTGTCAAAGGAAAAATAGGACTTCCGACCTCAGATGATCCTTTCGAGAAAACAGGGTCTGGTTTCTTTCTCTTTTTTAAAATCTCATCTTCACACTGAGCACCGAATAACCTGGATCTATTGAGACCCTAATGTGACTGGCAATTCTGTACGTGTTTGGATGAAATAAGTAGTCCAATTACAGTGCATTTTGAAAGTTTTAAATATGTAATGGTGCTACGTAAGGTTCTAAATATCGACAGGGGCCTATTGTGCTGGTGCTTTTTTTATGTTTCACTTAGTTTTTTCAAAATCGATTCAAAGGGGCCGGTTTAAGGCCTAACTACCCTCTGAACCGATGATTGATCCGATATAATCCCTGTAGGGGCATATCGGGAAGCCACCGGCATGATACGTATCAGCCAATACGGGCTGATGTGTTGATACTTTGAACCTTCACTGCTATTTTAAAATCCTTTGGGAGACAGGAGAGGAGAAAAATGACCATAGGGTTTGGTGGGAGATGGTGTGTAGGAACAATCAAGATGGAGGTCTAGGCATTGGGAATATAAGAGAAACTTGGCTCTATTAGGGAAATGGTTGTGGAGATTTTCATTGGGAAAGGAAAAACTATGGGTTAAGATAATATGTAATATTCACAGGCTTGCGGAGAATGGATGAGACTGTAGGATTATGACTAGGACAACAAGATCATCACTTTGGAAAGCAATCCAAGCTATTCTACCTTTATTTTCTCCTTGAATCAGATATAACTTGCACTTGGGTAATCTCATTAAGTTTTGGGAATATGTTTGGGTTGGGGATTCTCCTTTGAAATGCCAATTTTCAGCCATCTTTGCTATCTCTACATTCAAAAATGAACCAGTTGTCACTTTCCTTGTACCCTCAAACCCAATTTCTAGGTTTGGATGGAACTTAGGTTTGAGAAGAGCTCTTAGAGACATAGAATTGGATGATACCTTAACTCTCATGTCCATTATTGATGGAGTTTTCTTAGAGCCTATAAAAACATATAGTAGGATTTGAACTTTGTCTCTGTCAGGCTCTTTTACTTGTGCCTCCTTCTTTAAATCCTTAATACAATGACAATTCCTATTGGCTTGCCATTCTCCGCCAAAAAAGTGTGGTGTCAACCTATACCTCTGAAGGTTGGGAGTTTCTATTGGAAAGCTTTCCTGAAAAGAGTCAGTACAAGTTAATTGATTCAAAGAAAAAAACCCAATAGTTGTTTATCTCCTCATTGGTGTGTTCTTTGCAAAGCTGCTTGTGAGTTTGGTTACCACTTACTAATATCTTGTGATTTCCCCAATGAATGTGCAAAGCTTGTTTAATTCATCTTTTTTCAACTACTCAACAAAAAGGTCAAGGATCATGTGGAAATGTATGAGAGTTGTTGTTTGTTGGACTATATGGGAAAAAAGAAACTCAATGATTTTTTCAGAAAAGGAGAGAATGTTGGAAACTATGTTAGAAGTGATCCATATAAAGGTAACACATTGGTTGAAAACAATAGACTTGTTCATAGATTATTCAACGAATGATATGTTAAGAAATTGCAAGCTTAGCCTCTATTAAAAAGACCTCGAATCCCACCTTGAACCCTCCACCTATTGGTTTTATCAAACTAAAGTTTGATGGTAGCAGCATGGGGAATCTAGGGTCTTCAGGTATTTGAGGGGTGCTAAGAGATGAGAAAGGGAATGTAATAGCTAGGTTCTCTGGCCCAATTAGAGTTGGAGACTCTTTAAGGGCTGAGGTGTTAGCAGCTTTAAAAGGGGTACAAAGGGCTAAAGACCTGAATGTCAAGAAACTGATTGTAGAAGGAGATTCTGATATTGAAGTGAATTGGCTAAAAGAAGACACCTCTAAGCTTTGGAGCTACAACAATGAAAAGAGAAAATTCAAATGGCTGATCAAGAACATGGAAGTTCAATGTACTTGGGTAAAGAGAAATGCAAACTCCTTTGTTGATGGATTAGCTAGGCAAGGGGTGAATAGGGATCCTGGTTTCTGGACTTAGTTGTAATTGTTCTTTTCCTTTTGGGTGCCTGCCCACCTTCTTGAGGAGTTAAGATACTTTAACTCTTTTGTAAGCTTATTCCTATTTATTGAAATCCGTTGTTATTGATAACAAAATGGTGCTACGTTAAAATCTCAACCAATTAGGTTAAAGATGTCATAAGGTCTACATATATTTATGAGGTGTATTTTCACATTGTTAAGGGAAAATTGTTAAAACCTCACCTAAAGTTTTTAACCTTTGCTAAAACCTTCCCTAAAGTTTTGTAATTGTACTCATTTCCCTTGAACTTTTTGACACAGTTGAAAATAGACCCCCTCTGTTAGAATCCTCTAACAAGAGACACAAAACATTCAAAAACCAATTTCAATTCTCATTCTCCCCAGGCAAACCATTGGAAGATATTGATTCTAGACCAATATTCCCGTGAACCAAATGAACACTTAGGTATGTATCATATTTAGTGCTAAGTTGCCGACACCTCTTTTGGTTGCATTTGGTTGTAGTGTAAATCTTGGTCAAATGCAAAATTTGTACTTGGTTTAGGTTTGCTTTTGTTTATTTGTAGTTATGATTTGTATTTCTACTTAATACAAAATTTGTCATTTTTTTATCTCTTTTGCACTCTTGATAGTGCAAATTTTGTATACTAAAGATGGCTACGAAATTTACACATCATCTTTCATCCTACCTTACTCCTAGTCCTAGATAGATATACCTCCTCCTACCCCCATTGCCTTTTCATTTAAAATAGTCGGTTACTTCATTGTACTTCATATTTTGTTACTTGTAGACATATAAGATAAAGCTAAATCATTTTGTTACTTGTAGACATATAAGATAAAGCTAAATTTGAAGCAAAAGCAAACCAGGATTTACATTAGTGCAAATCAAGGTTCAAAGTATCAGAAAGACAATTTTAAGAGACGTATCAGGATACATCTTGGATACATGTGCGTATCGGAGAAAAACTAAGATACGTTTAGAAATACTATAAATACTTTAATAAATCATAAAAATACATCAACAACACTAAATATAAGACCTCAATGAGATGTATATATATTAAATTAATATTTTTTAAAGGTTTTATGAAGAAATATATTGTAGTTAATTATAATTTCATTAAAAATCTTATGCTTAACTATAATTTATAAATTATAATTCTTAAGTTTTAATGTTTTATGGGATGGGAAAAACCCAACTCTCCTATCCAACCATAAAGCATGCATTGGAACAACTTCTATGTAAAAATATAATTAATAATTATTTATTAATTAAATATTTATTATTTATTATTTATTTCTAAAAATAAAAAAAAACAAATAAACTTTATTTATTAAATAAATAATTATTATTAATTATTTATTAAATAAAGCCGCTTTGGCAAGTTTTTCCGTGCGGGCTTCGGACCGTTTAGAAGCTCAAAAGCTTGAATTTTAGGCTTTTCCCGTTTGGCAAATGGTAAGTATGTTTCAAAAATGACGCAGACCATTGAAGACACGAGAAGCCCAAAATTGAGCTTTTTTCGGGAAGCTTCGATTGAAGCTTTTGCAAGTTTCCAGCTTCTTCGAACGTGTGTTTCTCTGCACACGCTTGTGAGAAAATAGGGGATCTTTGATACAAACTCGCAAATGGTTCGAGCCTAACCCTGAGCTCTGCCATTGTCGACTTCTTTTTCTTCGTTCTTGCTCTGCCATTGTCGACCTGTGTACACATCTCTCTTCTTCTTCGTCTTCTTGCTCTGCCATTGTCGACCTGCGTACACATCTCTCTTCTTCTTCTTGTTCGAGTGTCGTTATTCTTTTTATTCTTCCCATGGCAAACCGTTCTTTCCTTTTTGCAGGTATACCATCAAAGGTGACTTGCTACGATCGAAGGTTTGAAGACTTGCGAACAAACAGGTACAACCCCCCCCCCCCCCTCCCTTCGCTCGGAATCTCTTCTTGCTGCTGTTATTTCCTTTCTTCATCTGGAACCCCTTAACAACATGTTGCTTCGATTCCTTTGTCTGGAATCTCTTCTTGCTGCTGTTATTTCCCTTCTTCGACTGGAACCCCTTATGATGAGGGTTTTTCAATGTATGGCCTTCGCATATATGAAAGCTGGGAAGTCAATTGCTGCCTATTATAGAAGGGTTTAAAGAGTGAACCTCGGCTTTCTAGTTTCGGACTTATGAAAAATAGCAATGAACCTCGGCTTTCTTGTTTCGGACTTATGAAAAAAAGCTGGGAAGTCTCCTTTTTTTTTATGAGTAACTGATTGAATGTAGTTGGCCTCAGAATGGTATCACTTACTATTGGACCTCAAATTTATGGTTTTGCTTGTTGTGCATCTACTCCTTGCTTGTTGACATCAATAACCCACATTAGATAAATCTTATTCAGCTTTGAATAAGGAAAGATCATTCTACAATGATTACTGCTAGCCTAAGTATTGAATTTGTTCACACATTGTGGTTCATTCCTATAGGAAATGTCTCTGCAAGAGAAATCATTATGGTTTCGTGGGTTATGACACTAACACCCCAAACCCACAATAGCTAAAGCTTATTGCAATTTTTCATTTTTCTACTTTATGATTCTTTGAAGTTTGGGAGTAAATACTGTTCTTCTTATCTGGTATTCTTGTTACACTTCTTTTATATATTTGAAAGAGAAAAAGGTTCAAGAGAAGGGCCCATTTTTGTGCTTGTTAAAGAAGAAAGCATGGTCTCTATCTTCCTGATCAAAATAAGCTTGGGACACCTTTTGTTGATAAAAACTCTTGTTGTTTCCTTTCTTGCTGAAGACACCAATAGATCAAAAAGGGAGCAAGATACCATGATATACAACCTTACCGCAAAACCTTTTGCTGGATAAGAATCAGCTAATGCTTATAAATCTGTTGGTATGATCTATTGGTGACAAATGGCTTGTGAAAATTTTGACCACACTTGATTCTCTTGGGGGATCAGCATTAGAAATTACTTTGAGAGTTAAATCTTTACATATGATGCTGGAAATTAATCCAGCAACCCATTTATGGAGTGTGAACTGTTAGGGGATCAGCATTAGAAATTACTTTCATTAATTGGGGGATCAACATTAGAAATTACTTTCATTAATTGAGAATTAAATCACACATGATGTTGGTATCCTGTATTGTAGCATCCAGTTGTTTTCTTCACCTTGTTCTTGAATATTTTGCACAGCTATCTATGGAGTGTGAACTGTTTTATCATTGTATTACAATAATGGATATTCTTCTTTGGTTTTGACTACTATCCAGTCTTGGTTGATTTCAACTAATTCCATTTGCAACAATGATGATGTGTATTTTGTAGGGATTGACTTCCCTACAAATACTTTTTTGTTGGAAATTTTGATTCAACATTCCTGGTTTTCTAACCTCGGTTATCTATGCTGGATTTTCATCCCACCCATTCAATAACTATTTTCCAACAAAAAAAAGAGAGAAAAATAAGTATCAATGCCCTTAGTGCCCTTAATATCCAAGAAAAGATGTTGATCACTCTTTGGCTATACTGAATATTAGAATCATTGGGTGAAACAGGTTTTGCTCTATCAGAATCATTGGGTGAAACAGATTTTGATTAGTTGGTTCCAATCTATAAAGATTGAGTGAAACATGTTGGGTGAAACAGATTTTGCTCCATCAAAATCATTTGTATTGCTAGTTCGTTCCAAGCTATAAAGATTGATATTTGAACATGTGAAACATAAGTATTTGTAAAAAGCATGCATACACCGACCCCGTACACACTCATCCAATCTAATTCAATTAGGACCTAAAAAGCATGCTACTTATTCAAATTGGCCCCAGACCCAAACCAGACCGAGTTGCACATTTCTCTAGAGCTTTCATTGTTATTCAAGATTGTTAATGGGTTGGATCCAGATCAAAACTATCTAGATTTCAATTCCTGTTAATAATAATATTTGAATTTGAATGAAATATTATCTATCAAAATTAATCAAATTTGGATATTATGTATTATCAATAAAATGAATTAAGAATAGTTTTTAATGAGGCTTGACATGGTAGACACCAATGATGATTTCAGTGTAAATTCTTATTTATTTTTATTTTAGTTTATGCTTTATTTTATTTATTTGCATTGCAGAAAAAAAAAACCTGAAGCTAATTAAAGGAGTGTTCCAATGAACTTCATGTTTCTCAATTTCTACTTTACAGAAAAAAAATAAGAATAGTTTTTATTTGCTTTGCAGAAAAAAAAAATTAAAGGTTGTAAATGGGTTTCAATTTCTGCTTTTTTATTAATGTATCTTTAGTTGGTGAACTTGGTTGCTTGGGGGTTGTACCAGCAAGTTTGCTGAAGCTATCAAACTCTTGTTTTCTTTTTTTGTGCAGCTTTGTATTACGACCATTTGCATATTTTTTGGGTTCATTTACCACAGGTCACTCCTATCACTGCAAGTAATTCCATACTTGTATTATTTGCTTATTTAACACAAAATTTAAAATGATTCTAGCACTTTGATAGTAACTAATGATCTGATTATTATATAGATGGCAAATAGTGTAGTCAATACCACATCATTTGACGATGGACCCATTATTAATGCAAATTGGACTCTTGCGCAAGAAAATATTTTCATAGATTTACTAGTACTTCAAGTAGAGTGGGGGAATGGTTTCTGGGTGTCTGAAACCAAGTGGTTGGAAGGAGGTTCAACAAAGTTTTTTTGCACAAGTTGGGTTGAAGTTCAACACTAAATCCTTCAGTAACAAAATACAAGATCTAAAAAGTAGGTATAAGGAGTTTAGGAAATTAAGATTCGAACAAACGGGATTTGGTTGGGACAAGGAGAAGCATATGGTTGTAGCCTCCCCAGAGACATGGGAGAATTATTTATTGGTATTTTCTGAACTTTGAAGTTATTTAGAGATCATATTTGTTTGGGACTTTATATGTATGTAAATGTATATATTGATTGGTGTCCCCTTATCTTTTTAGGTTAATCTCAAGGCAAAAAGTTTTCGTAATATGGGTTGTCCAGAGTATAACAACCTTGAAATTATATTTGGGGGTACCACACCTACAGGAAGGTTCTTTGCATCTCTGGCACATGGAATAGAATCTCCACCCTAGGAGGACGGGCATGCCCCCCAATGATCCACACCTTGAAGAAGTTCAACAACCATCACTTGGCATTGTTGATTCAGCCAATATTGATGGTGATCAAATTTCTACTACAACCATAAAGCAAAATGCTTGTAGGAAGAAGCCATCTGAATTTTTTGTTGCAATTTCAGAACAAAATGTGTCAGTAGATAAGAGATTTGAGAAGTTGGTGGAAGCATTTAAGGGACTGAATAAAAAGCCGGAGAATCATGTCTCTATGAGCAATGTTTTAGCAGAGTTGAATTCTATTGAAGGGATGAATCATAATGACTACCTAAAACTTTATTAAGTGTTTGAGAAGCCAGATGCAAGAGAGTGGTTCATAAACATGCATGTTATTCTTAGGAAGAATTGGGTGTTTGGTGTCTTTAATTGTTAGATTCGTGAATGTTATGTTCTCATCTATGAACCCTTTCTTTTAATGTTTTAGGTGAACAATTGTTTATAATTGTTATAACTTCTTAAACTACTTCACAGGTGTAGGATTGAATAATGGTTTCAGTAGATACAATTCATATGGTATTATATGGTTTTGTGGATTGCTTATTGATTATTGTTTGGATGGTTTAATGAATAGGGTAGCACATTTGGTCCTTAATTTATGAAGTGCAGGTTTGCAATTAATTAAATATAAAGCTTTATGTGTATATGTAATTGTTGTGTCAGATTTACAATGGTTGATAGTTCGACCAAGAGGGTAGTGTTGCAAGCAATTTTGGCCGTTTTTGTAGATGATGAAGAGCAGCGAATGGTGACAAATGTCCTCATTGTGAAGGAACTTGAGAAGGAAGAAATGTATCTCTCCAAGACACCTTACCACAATGACATTTTGATCGGGTCAGAGTTGTTGAAAAATGTTATATGCAATGAAGGTAATAAGTGTTTGGAAATGTTTGGAATGACCATAAAAGCATTTGTTAGCCTAGTAAGTGCATTGAGACAAAGAGGGTTAGTGAAAGATAGTAGATATGTATCAGCTGATGAGCAGGTTGGAATTCTTTTAAAGATTATAGGACACAACAAAGCAAATAAAGATACTGCATACCACTTTCAACACTTTGGGAAAACCATTTCACGACACTTTAATTCCGCATTGAAAGCAACTTGTGAATTTGGCAAGGAAATTGTACGATCTGATGATCTAACTATTGTACCACCTGAGATACTCAACAATCCAAAATATTATCCATGGTTCGAGGTATCTCATACTATATGTGAGATAATTTTTCATTTCTTTATTCTTTAATAAAAAGCCTATCACCAAACTAGATTATTTTTTTCATCTGCAGAATTGTGCAAGTGCAATAGATGAAACACATGTTCATGCTTGTGTTCCATTTGTTGATCAAGTTCTATTTAGTGGAAGAAAATCAACAATCACCCAGAATGTGATGTGTGCATGTTCGTTTAATATGCTCTTCACTTTTGTTGAGGCAGGATAGGAGGGTGCTGCACATGATTCAAGAGTTTTTTTGGAGACAGTTCAAAACCCCGATAATATGTTCCCGCTACCACCAGAAGGTTAGCAAAACTATCAAATAACCCATCGGAGTTTTTTATTCAATACATTAACTACATTTGTGCTACCATATAGGAAAATATTACGTAATTGACTCGGATTATACAAATATGCTTGGATCTCTGTCTCTATATGGATCAGAGAGATACCATTTAAGGGACTTTCAAGGAAGAGGTGGTCGACCAAAGAATGCCGAAGAATAATTATGTTCATTCTTCATTGAGGAATGTCATAGAGCGTTGCTTCGATGCTCTTAAGGCAAAATTCCCAATACTAAAGTTGATGCTTCCATACTCACTTCACAAGCAAATCAGAATTGTATTTGCTTGTTGTGTGTTACATAATTTCATTCGATTATCGAGAATCCAAGATGTGTTTTGGAATGGTTTCTTTCAAGATGGTGTTCATTCATGTGCTTGTTGGAAATTTCACAATTCATTTGTTAGGATATATACAACTTTATTGTGATGTGATGTTCAATTGTTTTGTTATTTAGTCATAGCAACAAATCGAAGGGGACCGATGTGTCCATGTGGGCGTGGATGTATAAAATTGTGGATGGCAAAAATCGAAAAAAATTACGGAAGATGATTTTATAAATGTCCAACTGGAGAGGTATAAGTCCAATACCCAAAAACCATATTGATCAATATTTGTGTTTAATATAAATTGAAAATTATTAACATTTTTTTCTTCCAGCCACATGAATATGACTTCATGTGGGCAGATAACTACACTCTGGAAGAATAAAAAATCCACATCTTTGAACAACATAATAATGCTCATGAACATGCAAATTATAAGAAAGAGCGGGTTGTTGCAATTGGGGCTTGTGTTTGTTGTTGTGCCATGATGTGTTTGATCATTTTTTTTTTATAATTTTGATTTTCATTTTGTTAGTTTGGAGGTAGGATAGATACCACTAGAAGTATGGTTAGTATGTCCCTATCATGAATTGGTGTATGGTTTTTCCATTTTGGATATGCTTTGTAGTTGCGTAATACTAAAGTTGTATTTATGTTATTAACATGTACAAAAAATTTGAATGTGTAAGTGGGCCCGACCAATGGTATATACATATGGGGCCCACATTATGTATTATGCATATGTTGAAATGTATGTGGGGCTCACATTGAAAAAATATTTATGAACTCCATAATAAAGGGTGTACATAGTTGAAATTGCATGTGAGACCCACATTAATGCATTATGCATATGTTGAAATGTATGTGGGGCCCACATTGAAAAATATTTATGAACTCTATAATAAAGGGTGTACATAGTTGGAATTGCATGTGGGACCCACATTAATGCATTTTGCATATGTTGAATTGTATGTGGGGCCCACATTGAAAAAAATATTTATGAACTCCATAATGAAAGGTGTACATAGTTGGAATTGCATGTGGGGCCCACATTAATGCATTATGCATATGTACACATGTATATGAGGCCCACCTTAAAAAATATGTATAGGCTTCAAAATGAATGATATGCATAAGTGGACTTACATGTGGGGCCCACATTAATGCATTATGCATATGTTGAAATGTACATGGGGCCCACATTGAAAAAATATTTATGGACTCCATTATGAAGGGTGTACATAGTTGGAATTGCATGTAGGGCCCATATTAGTGCATCATGCATATGTTGAAATGTATGTGGGGCCCACATTGAAAAAATATTTATGATCTCCATAATGAACGGTGTGCATAGCTGGAATTGTGTGTGGGGCCAACATAAATGCATTATGCATATGTTGAAATGTATGTGGGGTCCATCTTGAAAAAATATTTGTGGACCCCATAGTGAAGGATATACATATGTGGACTTAATGTGGGGCTTGTTTATGGTAAGTGCATGGGGGCCCACAATTATGAAATGTATGTTTAGACCTATATGTGGGTCCCACATGTGTTAAATGAATGGTTTGTTGGCCCATACATGAGGCATTCATATATACATAACACATATTTTCATCACATTACCAAATGGTCTTCCAGCTTTGATGGTCTTTCCGGAGATCTATGAAAAATGTTTCAACCAAACAGTCTTCCAGTTTTGATGGTCTTTCCGGAGATCTATGAAAAATGTTTCAACCAAACAGTCTTTGGTTTTCCAATTGAGCTTGATTTGTGTGCATAATTTACATGTAAATTCTGGTGTTTATGCATGATTTTGATGCTGATTTGTGTGAATTCTTACCCCAATTGAACTTGATTTCATGAAATTGTCAAAGGGGACAAGTCTAGGGAAAAATAGCATAAAACCATGCTAAATGAGGTCAAATTGAAGGTGATACAGCCCCGTTAGGAGCAAGGCCCAACCGAAAGGTCAAATGAGGGCTATTCGGCCCTTAAAGCCCATGCAACACTCTTTGGGAGAGCCTAGCCGCAACCTTCCAAGGGAGCCTATTTGGCCCAGCAAGGAGGAGGCCCATTCGCAGCTCAAGAGCAGCCCAAAATAAGCTAGGGGCGGCAACTTCTAAAAGGATCAAAAGAAGCTAAAGGCGCCAAACTTTCTTGATGAGAGAAAGGGGTTGAAGAGAAGACTATAAAAGGAGAAGAGAAAGAGGGGAATAGGGGTCGAATACCTTTTGGGGAGAATTCCTTTTGGGGAGAAGAGAAAGATAGGCGCAAGAGAAGAGAAGAAATGAGAAGATTCAAGAATATTCAAGAGAAGAAGCTGATTTCGAATTTGGAGAAAAAGTCATTGGAAGAGATCAATCTAGGTTGTCTTCTTCCTTGATTTCTGCACAAGTGGTAATCGAATTCAGTTAGGGCTTTCATGTTTATTTTCTCCATTAATTCAATCTTTCTTGTTGTAATTGAATGATGTTTCATGTAATTTCAAATCTGTAATTAGTTCTCTAGGGTTATTCAAATGGATTAGATTCAATTTTGATGTTTCTTGATTATAAATTTAATTGTTAGAACTGTTAGCTGAATTGATCTTAATCTTTGTAATGTCTGAATTGCTTGAGAAAGAATTTAGGCAATCTTAATTCTGTTTGGCCGAACTGTTCTTCTTTCTTTGAGTTTTTAAATTGTTTGAGAAATAGTCTAGAAATTCGGATTTACTAATCAAGAACCGAATTGAGTGCAAGGTTAGAGATAACTTGCACAATTCGGTTGGTCATCATTCAATCTGAAATGATGCCCTAGAATTTCTAGATCTTAATGCATACATGAGGATTAGATTCTTGCTAGAGATAGAAAAATCATCACTCATGCATAGAATGAACATGCGCTTGAGAGAGGCTGTTCATTGTCTTGGGGTTTCACCAAATCAAGGTTGAATCCTAATCTAATCGAATGACCTAGAGATCTAATTATAGAATCAATTTTGTGCATAGTTAGATTGTCTTCTCAATTTACTTGCAAGGTATTTGATCCAATTATTTAGAAATAATTTTGTAGTTAGGATTTCAGATTTGTATTAGATTTACATTTTGGTTAATCAGATAAAAGTAGATTGATATACTACTAGTAGTTGCTGCATAAGTCCTCGTGAGAAACGACACTCTATTCATCACTCTATTACTTGTGTGATTAATACACTTGCTAGTGTAGCAAATACACATCAGCGGCCTTAACTTTTAACCTAGCTTCATGTTTTTAAAAGCTAGTATTTTTTAATAATGAATTAATAAAACTTTTCACATTGTCTGCTTATTTTTTTCATTGATTCACATTTTAGGAGGTCTATTTATCAATCGTGTTAAAGATTTAACCAATGTCAAATATGTCAACTGTAACATTTCATTTTATCACTGATTTAAATCTTTTATTTTATAATTCTTTTTTTTTTGTTTAGTATAGTATTTGTCCACTTACATTGCCTAAAAAAGGATTCTTTTTTGTATCCAAGTGGAGGGGCGGCAATTTAATTAATTAAATTCAAAGGAAAAATTAAAAAAAAAAGGAGAGGATTTAACCCGCCTTGCCCCATAGCCCAAACATACATAGTTCTCCCATAAATATAGAAAATTTTCAGTGATAGTTGATAATTATTCTAACCCGAGACTAATCTCACGTAGATGTGCTTATCATCATCATCCATTCAATTAGCTGACGATACATACATTCTGGCTTGTGTGAATGTTTGATGTCATATAATAATGCAATGTCGGGCCATCCAGGGGCGGAGTTAGGATTTTCTTTTAAGGGGACCAAAATGTAATAAACATAGATAGAAGGGCCATAAGTTAGTAAATATAGGTAAGGGGATGAAAATATAGGTAAAGTTAAAATGGGTATTGTAGGGATTTTAAAGGCATAGGGGTGGCCCCCTCTACCACCCCCTGGCTCTACCCCTAGGGCCAGCAAAATACATTCTAACACCCTTCAAACATGATTTGACAATGCATCTCACCATGGCACTGGGGCCTACCATGTGATTTTAGATCATATTGGGAGGGGTGGTGGGACACATTTTGTTGGTAGGAGATCCCGAACCATCAATTGGGGAATCGGATCATCTGTCAACAAAATACATTGCAACACCCTATCGACATGATCTGACACCGTACATCTCATACATAGCACATCCCATTTTTATGATGGGTTCCAGTCTCATGATAAGATGTGTGGTATAAGATCATGCTGGGGGAGTGTTGAAATGTGTTTTGTTGGTAGGCAATTTGGGCTTAAGGTCCAAATTCGAAGTCAAGCCCAATATTCTAAATTCGAGCCCCAACCCACACTATAATTTGATTCATTCGGGTTGGTCAATATATATATATATATATATATATATATATATATATAATTGGGTTGGGCTTTGTCAGGTTTGGACTACCTAAGGGCTTGGCCTAAGCTTAACCCAAAAAATAAAAAACCTGAATTTTTTGGACCCAAACCCAACCCAAGAACAAAAAATCCAAACCCAATAAGTGTAAAATTTCGATATGGGCCTGATCGGGCTCGAGCTTTGCACCCCTAACCTTGTCTAGGCTTCTATTTTGGGATTAAGGGTTTGAGCGAGTTTGATACCTTTCTAAGATATTTGAGTTTATTTTGTCTTTTTTATCTAAAGGGTTATGTGCCTAGGTTACAGAGTCGATCGACTGCCAACAAAAATTCTTCCACCATGTTATGTTTTAATTTCATCTTCATCCCCAAATCACATGCATGGTGGTCTCTCTTTTATGAAAGGTCCTTTCATAGTAGTTCCACACATGATGTACGCCACTGATAATGTTGGAAGGGATTGTTGTTGATAAGGAGTCCGGATCATCTGCTAACAAAATATGTTCAAACTTTTATGGTAGGTCTGATACCGCACAATTCACACCTGGCGGGTACCATTTTTATGGTAGGTCTGAGTCTTATAAGGAGATGTGCGGTGTTAAATTAAGTTGGTAGAGGGTTGAAACATGTTTTATTGACAGGTCTCAACTCGTTGACAAGGCGGTCTTGATTATCAATGCTAGAGTTCATATCTATCCATACATGGGCTTGAATATGTTATTCATGACCTATTCCAACATCTTTACCCACAAAACATTATTTCCGTTATTCATGGGAGATATTCCCAATACATGATTGTGGGGCTCTGTGGGTAGGGATGCGAGAACAATTTCTGATCCAGAGTGCAATACACTCTCTCAATGCTATCCCAACTAGTAATTATAGGCGCACATTATGGAGATTAGCTTCAGTCGATGCAAGGCCCGTTCGAACACCATTCGGACAGTCTTTACAGCCTTGTATCGTAAACATCTCCGCACTTGTGTACTTTATTTCATGGGGATATATTCCCAATGTAAAGCTATAATAGGTGTTTGAACGGGTTTTGCACTGACTGAATCCGGTTTCCACATCATGAACATCTCCCTGCAGCAATGGTATGATGGGTTATGGTTTGGAGAGTTTGTAGTAGATGTTCCCAAATTACTACTCTATTCCTTCTCCTAATCGAATGACCAAAATCATTTGATCCAATTTAATCAATCGTATGCGGGTAGTCGGGTACTACAGTTCAACTTCTTTCACTGACAAAGTAGACCTAGCAATTGGGTTGGGTGGGTCAGGTCAGGTTGAATTATCAAATGTTAGACCCTAACCCTAAATATTCGGGTTAGGGTTGACCCTTGAGTCAATTTGGGTCATCCCAAAAAATAACTGAAATTTAAAAAATAAAGAAAAACTACATGAAAAATGCCACAATTAAAGGAATTAACCTTAAAATTCCAAATATAAAATAAAAAAATTGAACATTTTACAATTTAAATAGTAAACAATAAAGAGTAAGACTAAGTAGAAAAACATTAATAAATGGAAACTTCTAACAATGCATAAATAGTCTCAATTAGACTTGGCAATCGGATCAGCAGGTTGATCCATGACCCAACCCAGTTTTTTTTCCGGATTGGGTCGGGTAAGGTCATTCTCACATTTAGATAGCTAAATATGAGACCCTAACCCTGTTTTTTCGGGTTGAATTGGTTCCGTTCGCGGCTCGGATAAACTTTTTACAGGTCCAGGTGACAAGAATTCGGTAGTAGGAGAACCCGCGTACAATTAGCAGACTAGCAGTAGTGGGTGTACCCCAAATATTTCGAAAAAACACTCGTGGCGGAAGGACGAAAAGCGAGAGCTTAGAAAAGGTAGAAGAGGAGAGTGAGAACTTCGGGGAGTTTCAAATTTTCGTTTTCGTTAGGTTCCAGATTTTGTTCTGCAATGGACGTTCTGAAGGATCAGATCACTTCCCTTCTTGATCACGGCCTCCATGACTCTGCTCAAATGCTCGTAATCTCTCTCTCTCTCTCTCCGTGTTGTTTCAGAGCTTTTTATTAATTTCACTAAATCAGGTGACTGCATTGAGCTTGTTTTTCTTGTTCTTATGATTTTATTCATACTCTGAGTTCGAGTAGGTTGAACCATTTTGTTAATTAAAAAACTTGAGCTTCTTTTCTTCTGTTTTTCTTCCTTTTTTTTTTTTTATTCAGACTGTTAATTCACGTAGATTGAGTCATTTTGTTAATTCAAGAAATCGTCTTGGACAGGGTTGCTTCCTCGTTTCTTCGTCGGCTATAAATGCTGAAACAAGTCCACATGTTAAGGCTGAAAACTTGGTAAGATTTTTTGCCTTTCTAGTACAGTTAGTTAGATGGGATTAATTTTCGCCAAATTGCAGTGATTACTTATCGGTCAATATAGATGGCCTCATTTGGGGATTTTTGCTTGCTATGGCTCGTATACTGTTTTCCGTTTGTCGTAGGCTTTGGGGTTGGGAATTGATGGTGATTGTTGCTGCAGGTGCTTCTTGGCGATTCCTTGTATGGCGAAAAAGAATATAGGAGAGCAATTGTAAGTCTTTATTAGGTTAATGAACCTAATTAAATAGCTCTGCCTGGGTAAAACTTTTGATAAATGTGTTATAAGTGTGATGCTGGAGTAGGTGTTCTGTGAAATGCTTTTTAGATGGTTGCCTTGCAATAATGCAAAAACATGGCCTTGAGAATTGGGGTTTTATATGTGTAAGTACTGTGGCAAGGCTAGGTGTGGTGGTCTCCTTGAAGGATGAAGAAAGGTCGAGGGGTATTGGGTAGCAGAGGTTAACGGAGTTGTTAGAGTTGATAGAATTCTGCCCCCATTACACTTTATTCCCATTTTTATAAGGGGAGACTCCGAGGCCCTAAAAAGGAGGGGGTTTGGTTCTTACTTGGAAGGGGGATCCTTGATTCGATGTTGGTTGCCAGGGGATCCTTGACACATGCGCTACTCCCCCTTACGGGTCTCCCATATTGACATGGCGCAGATGATGTCAGAACTAGTTTGACGTGTTCGCTTAATTGCTTTGTCAATTGCTGGATGTCTCATTATGAGTAACTTTGGCTTGTTGCGAATGCACAATGGTTCTTAACTCCATCGTAGGATTGTGATGGCTTTGAGCTCAATGCAAGCCTGTGATGAGTTATGGGTTCATCACAGGCCCCCGGTGTCTTGTTGTCGCCATAGGTGTTTCTGTGGTTTTGGTTTGATACCTTCACCGCGATCACAGACATGGGGAACCACATGTACTTACAATATGATCATGTGGAATGGAAATACTACAATTGTTTTATATGTTTAAGTCCATAAGTTCATCATCTATATGGAGCCACTGTGTAATCAGTTCATTTATTGGGATCGTAAAATTGACTAATATAATATTTTATGAATATTCCCCAGATGAATCTGTTGTATAGGGATTTAGGCTTTAATGCAATAAAAGATTAAAAGCAAATCATTTCATACAAGGTTGTTCCTGACACCCCATTTGTTGTTTTATGGTGGCTCAAAAGGGGGTGGGGGGGTGGGTCTCATCTTATACTCTTGTTTGGTTCCTACTTATCATCAGGGTAGGAAAAACTCTGTTGTATTTAATGCTTTGAAGCATGAATTGTTTGTTGTTTTCTTTCCAATCCCAATCAAGGTTGGCATTTGTTGAGGTGGGACACGGTTTATTGAGCCATTGGGATGGCAGTTCAATTTTGGTGACTTGAAATGAAACCTTTTCACCATCTTATTTCTTCTTAGATTTTAAAATTTTATGCTGGGCCCTCTTTGAATTTTGAAATGTGTATCATCCATGGAATTAGCTAACATTAAAAAACTATTCAAATGAACTATTGATTTTGTTAGCTGAAGCTCTAGCTTTGATTAATTTAATGAAATCAAGTCTAGGGGCCTATGGAACTGTCATGCATCTAATTGATGATCACCTAGGAATGGGAATCCCCTATTTCAACCATCTGTGAAAGCCTATTTTACATGTGAGATTTATATGATTAATATTTAGTATTCTTTTTTACATCTAAAATCTTATTGTATCGGGTGTTTCTCACTTACGCATGAATGTGCATATTGTGTGTTTTTTCACATGCACTCTATTTTTTATTTTTTCTTTTCAAAATTCCGCAGGGGGTCAGTTTAGGCTTGCCTACCCCTTAAATATTTCAAAACCTTGAACACCAAGTATTTAACATGTTGGGGTGCATCAGGAATGTTATGATGCTCCTGATGTTATGATTCACCCTGATACACTACGAAAATTTGATCCTTGTGTAAAACAAATAGTGCTAATCTTCTTGTAGCTTATGTTCAATTATGCATCCTGTTTGTTTCTTAAGACATTTAACAAGGTTATCATGCTAATTCTCATATTCATTTTTTCTGGTAGTACATGTATAAGCAAGCTTTGCAGCTTTGCAAGATCATTCCAAAACAAAATACAATGGCTTCTAGGAGTTCATTATCTACATCAAATAGGTCATCTTCTCCAAATTCGATGAATATTTCGGCAATTAATGAAAATGAGGTAGTTTTCATTATTTTTCCTTCAGAATTCCCCTTGTCAAACGTACATGTGACTTAAATGTTTCCTATGATTTTTTATTAATGCAAACGAGGTAGTTTTCATTAATTTTCCTTCAGAATTCCCCTTGTCAAACATACATATGGCTTAAATGTTTCTTATGATTTATTTATTAATGCAAATGGGGGTAATTTTCATTATTTTTCCTTCAAGATTCCCCTTGTCAAACATACATGTGGCTTAATATTTCCTATGGTTTTTATTAATGCTTTAGTGTTACTATGTTCCATTAATTACTTGCATTTTCATGGCAGGTGAAATTCAAAATTACTCTTTGCCATTGTGCATTAAGTGAGAATCGTGCTGCTCTTGTTGAGGTTTCTCTCTTTTTTTCCCTTTTGTTGATTTGTTAGTTATATACACTTGATCTGATTTAATATGTTTGAAGTGTACACATTTAGACTTTTTTTGCTGTTCATGGGTAGTGTAGCTTTGTGTGCTTGGTCTCGGGCTTTTGTAAATAAGCCCTTTTTGAGCTAGAGCTCACTAATATTATATATATTTAAAATATATATTATCATTTACTAATATATTATTGTTGGTATTATATAATCATATTACATATTGGTAATACATAATAAAAATATATTAGTAATACATAATACAATTTGCTTGTTCCTATTTTAGATCAGGCTTTGGCTTTATATAAGGGCTGGGCTTGGGCTTGGATATTTTCTATTGATAAATGGCAAAACCCAGCCCGACCTGATAGGGATGCAACTTGGGTGAGCCCAACTTGAGTCCGAACCAACCCAACCTGAAATTTTACATAGTTTGGGCTTGGAGCCAAGAATTTGCACTTTTTTATTTTTCGGGTTGGGCTTGGACCTAGCCCTTAGGTTCTGGCCCAACTTTGTTCCAACCCGAGCCTGACCCGACTATACACATTCATGCATACTTATATAGATTAAGGTTTGAAATTTTCCCTTATAGGGGGTGTTTCGGGGTTTAACCTAGTTCAAGGGGTAGACATGCCTTAAACTGATCCCTTTGAACTAGGTTTTAAAAAAAAACTAAAAAAAAAGAGGAAAAATCAGCTTTGATACAGGCTGATACGCGGTACGCCCCTACCGGTGTATCGGTCGTATCGATATTTTGAACCTTGATATAGATATGTATTTACGTATATACACACACACACACACTTATATGTATTCATATTTGCATAAATGCATATATACATGTATAATTTTAGAGCAGGTTAATTACCAACCCAACCTGGCCCAAGCCCAAGCCCAAGCCCAACCCGAGTGCATCAAATTACAATGGTGGCTAGGTTTGGGTTGGGAAGAGTAGGCTTGACCTTGGGCTTGGTTAGGGCTTGGGCCTTAGGCTACCAAATCTTAGGGTTGGGCTTGGGTTGATCATAAACCTGGCCCAACTTGCACCCCTATGACCTGGCCTGTGAACAGGTCTATACACATCATTATTTGGAAGAAAAAAGTCCCAAGGAATGAAATGATTGATTTAAAGGTTGTGAAAAGATGTTAGATATCAACATGAAAGAGAAAAGGAGAGGAGAGAAGAAGAAGTTGGCGGCAAATAGGGTTTAGAGAGAAGATTGTTGAATGTTTTCTCTCTTCCCTAATCCTTTTCATTAAAACATAATATACAAGTTTTGATATTTATAGAGAGGCCCTTAATTGGGCGTTTAACTTCATTAAGCATAACATAAAAAAGGTCCATTAACAACATAAACAAAAACATAAACAAATAAAAGCATCGTATGGGCCATTTGGCCCATTCTCTCGACACTCCCCCTCAAGTTGTGCATAAATGTCAATCATGCCCAGCTTGCCATTGTCATTTTGTAGTTTGGCCTTGGAGATTCCCTTGATAAGAATGTCAGCTAAATGTTCTTCAAATGTAATGAATGGTAGGCAAACTTCTCCAGAAGCCACTCTTTCTCTGATAAAATGCCTGTCGACTTCAATGTGTTTAGTCATATCATGTTGCACTGGATTGTGAGCAATGTTGATGGAGGCCTAATTATCACAATATAGCATCAATGACTTATCATACTCAACACCTAGTTCTTCCATCAAGGATTGAAGCCAAAGTAACTCAGAAACTCCATGAGCCATAGTTCTGTACTTGGCCTCATTTGAAGATCTGACAACAACTGATTGTTTCTTGCTTCTCCAAGAAACAATATTACCTGCCACCATGCTATAGTATCCAGAAGTCAACCTCCTATCATCAATGTTTCCCACCTAGTCAGCATCTGTGTAAGCCTCCAGTTTCATATGAATATGCTTAGCAAAAACAATTCCCTTCCTAGGAGTACTTTTCAAATAACATAAAATTTGTTTTGCTACTGCCATATGAGTGTCCTTGGGAGCATGCATGAGTTGGCTAGTGCAACTGACAACATATGCAATGTCAAGCCAAGTCATGCAAAGATATAATAGTTTCCCAAGTAACCTTTGAAACACTCCCTTATTCTTCAACAGTTCTCCATCAGAGGTAGAAAGTTTGTGACTCATATTAGTAGGAGTAGCCACCGGTCTTGCACTCATCTTGCCTGTTTCAGTGAGCAAGTCTAGCACATACTTTCGTTGAGAGATAAAAATTCCATCCTTAGACCGAGCCACTTCTATGCCAAGGAAATAGCTCAACTCCCCCAGATCTTTGATCTCAAACTCTGTATGAAGGAAAGATTTAAGATCATCAATCCCTGTCACATCAGTACTAGTCACTACTATATCATCAACATAGACTATAAAATATACCACCAATGAATCTCTCCTCTTCACAAAGAGGGTATGATCGGACTGGGTCTATATGTAACCAAAGTTAACAAGGGCAACCCTAAACCTTTCAAACCATGCCCTAGTTGACCGTTTAAGTCCATAGAGAGACTTCTCCAGCTTGCACACTTTTTTCCTCCATATCTGTGCCATACATCCCTAGTGGGAGAGACATATAGACCTCCTCATGTAATTTTTCATTCAAGAATGCATTTTTCACATCAAACTGATAGATTGGCCAATCTAAATGAGTAGCCAAAGATAGTAGAACTCACACAGATGTCATTTTTGCAACAGGAGCAAAGGTATCCAGATAGTCAATCCCATAGGTTTTTGTATAGCCTTTTGCAACCAACCTAGCTTTGTAGCTCTCAATGGAGACATCAACATGGTATTTAATGGTGTAAACCCACTTATACCCCACTGGCTCCTTCCCTTCAGGCAAATCAACCACTTCCCATGTGTCATTCTTATGCAGAGCATCTATTTCAGTTCTCATAACATCTCTCCATTCTGGAAAAGTAAGAGCTTCTGATACAGACCTGGGTATAGGGTTAGAAGCAATTAAAGAAAGAAAGGCATAATATGAAGGAGAAAGAAGACCATAGGAAAGATGTTTGGAAATTCTATGTGCAGTGCACTTCCGTTTACCTTTCCTGATAGCAATAGAGACATCAAGATCTGGGAATGGTGGCTGCAAAGGGATAGTATTAGTACCTGTTGTCTCTTCAGTAACTGGAAGTGTAGGAGGCTCATGTGGTGTAGAGGAAACAATGCTCACTTCTGGTTCTTTGCTGCTGGTACCACCTGGGATTAAAGAGGGGACGAGGAGGTAATGGAAGAGGAATATGAATATTGAAAGGAACATGAGATGATTGTTCCTCGCTTGACTCATTAAGAATAGAAGAAGGCTCAATAGGGACAAGAAGGGGGAGTGAAAATAACTGTGACAAATTCTTCCCCTTTGAATAATGCTTCCCCAGAGAAGAATCATAGAAAGGAGTGGACTCATCAAAGGTAACATCCATTGAAACATAACGAGTTCTAGTGTTTGGATCAAAACAACAATAACCCTTCTGTGTGGAGGCATAACCAAGGAATATGCACTTGTGAGCCTTTGGTTCAAATTTATGTTTCTGGGCACTTGGGATGTGTACATAATAACTACAACCAAAGACACGAAGGGGAATAGGGAAAAGTTCTTTACCCGGATGAAGGAGGCTAAATGGAGACTTAAAACACAACACCTTGGATGGCATATGGTTAATTAGGTAGGCTGCAGTGAGAACAACATCCCTCCCAAAATCTTGTAGGAACATGTGAGGCAACCGGGATACTTCTTGCAACTTCAACTATGTGACGATTCTTCCTTTTAGCAATTCCATTTTGTTCTAGAGTACGAGCACAGGAACTTTGGGGAATAACCCCAAAATCAGTGAGATAAGAGGTTTGGTTTTTCTCAAAGTATTCCTTTGCATTGTTAGATCTGAATATTTTGATTCTAATACCAAATGGGTAAGAACAAATTCATGGAACTGCCTCACAAGTTTGGGGAATTCATCTCGGGATCTCATAAAAAATAACCAAGTATATTGTGAGAAATCGTCAATGAACAAGATAAAATATCTATAGCTTCCCATAGAGGGTAGGTGGTATGGCCCCCACACATCAGAGTGCACAATATGGAATGAAGAAGATGATCTTTTATTACTCAAAGGATAACTGTTTCTACAATGTTTTGATAACTCACAGGACTCACAATGAAGACTGGACAAAGTTAATTTCCTTAAATAGTTTTGGGAATAGATGACTCAAAGCAAAAAAAGATAAATGACCCAAATGAAAATGACATAACATGACACGACTAAAGGACTTTGAAGAGATAGATCCAAAAGCAGCTTTCCCAGGTTGCCCTTGGCCTTGTCTAGGAGTATCCAACAGGTATATTCCATTCGCCTCATGGCCACTCTCAATCACTTTCTGAGACTTTAGGTCTTGAAAAACACAATAATAAGAATGTTACACTGCAGTTTAAGGATTTAGTTAGGCTACTCACAGACAATAAATTAGTATTAAGTTTAGGGACATGAAGAACATATAGAAGAGGAAGGGAGTCTGTAGCCTTGATGGTTCCCTTGCCAGAGATAGGAGCAAGTGAGCCATTAGCTAGGGTAATCTTATCACGACCAGGAATCAAATCATAAGAAATAAATAAAGTGGAAATGCTGGTCATATGATCAGAAACACTAGAATCAATAATCCAAGGGATCCTACGATTACTTGAGATGGTTGCATGATTGGTAGTAGCACGTATACCTGAATGTGCAAATACAGAAGTAGTTGAATTGCCCAGAGGGTTGGAGGAGGAGGCTGCACTCTCTAGGTGATTGATCATCCTCCCATACTACTCATATTCTGCCTTCATAACTGCTAACTATTCACTAGCAGTCCTCTCATCAGTTAAGCACCTGTCATTATCTGAAACAGTGGCTATGTTGGCACTTTTTGCCTTCACATTATCAACTTTCTTTTGGAAATGAGGTGAAAGGAGTTTTGGATGCAATTTC